ACGATTCAGTCATTTTTGGAGTTTAAGCAACACTAAAAGGATATTCAACCCTTGGCTGACTTGATACTTCTTTCTCTTTTTTTTTTATTAGCTTTTGACACTTCCAAAACTTTATGGATGTGCAATATTATAATACAATAGCACTCAACTCAAAATCCTTCTTGTCTCTTTAAAGATGAGCTCCACAAATCAAGCAGCAGTCCGTTCTCCTTTAACTGAAATGTTTATTCTAGTAAACAGCACAGACCATGTAGAGAGGATCACTGTTCAAAATAAACCAGCATCTGTTTGCTCCTCCAAATGGTTCCTCATCAAGTTTACTTTTTCTTCTTCATCTTCACTTTTTACAGGACAAATATAACAGACATGGTACTATACAGACTGTATACACATCGTATGCATCTTAATAAAGACAGCCTTAAAGTAGTTTGCCTACATGGGAGGAAGGGCAGTTGAAGGCAAAGAAAACAAAATCCAACAAGCCTCAGAAAGAAGAAAATGGAAGTGAATGGAGAATCAAACAGGTTCCCCCAAACGCATCAGTCAGTAAGAGAGATTGAAAGGTTTCATTCCAAACAGAAATAAAGTGAATCTTAAAAATGATTAAGATGGTATCCTTTTGTATTGACCTTGCTCTACAGAGCTGGGAGTGAGTGGTTGCTGGTGCATAAATAATCATATTAAAAACATACGCTACACATTCAAAACATCAGACAAGTTTCACAGGATACACAAAAACAACAATAAAAATAAACATTATCTATTGCACAATGAGGTAACGGATGACAGTAAAAGATGGTACCGGTGTGGAGTTCAGCTCTCTAAGCAGTACACTGCAGACGAGCCGGGGCAGGACCCGGGGGGGGGCACGGGGTCAGGTATCTATACGTCTTGGTACCCACTCATCTGTCTATAGCAGCAAACGGGGGAACTGTCATGCCATTATCTGGCTTCACATTTCTGGTGATAGTTGTAAGATTGTAACTTACTTTTTTATCTAACACTACATTTCCTTTCACTCAATTTAAACACATTTTACATTTGTATATACTTTTCAGACCGTCCAGCGCTTGGTCTGAGCGGGATTAACATCATGTATGACCTTGGAAACAGTCGTTTTTGGAGCCTTCAAATGTCTCGATGTGACTATAAGGACTACACACCAAGACCAACTTTAAGGGGACATTTTGAATAAAAGTCTTGTTCTTTTCGATGTGCAAGGTGCATGTCACGTTGTTGTGAACATGTTAACTGAAAATGGAGAACTGACAATAAGCTAGCTTGGTAGCTATCTTGGTAGCTAGCTACATTTTCTCTGAATTCACATTAAAAGTATTTGTTCCCAGAGAAAGTCAGTTCCACACATGTAGCTACCAAGCTAGCAGCACGTTACATAACAAACGGACATTTTCTCAGAAGAGCTAGACAACAAGCTAGATTTGTTAGCTGCCCGCTACTAGCACCTTTGCATCAATGAGGACTGAACAGGTGGAAAGATGTTTGATATTGTATCGTAACATCTTCAACACAGTGTGACAAGAGCAAGGCAAAGATTTAAAATGTCAATCTGGAGGTGTACAGCTTAGAGAAGCTCCATGTACCAGGAACACTGCTGTAACAGCTACAGTAAACTAAATATGTATGATATGTAAACAGGACAACAACATGACATGGGAGAAGCAGTTCACATTTCCATCTGGTACAATCAGTGGCTTCATGTCATCTTTTCTGTGAATTCACATTAGAAGCATTTTGAACCCCAGAAAGGCAGCTCTACACATGTAAAATATCTGGGGGACAGCAACAGTTTGATACTTCAGTCTCATGCTATTGTTCAGTGTGGTGACTGGCGAAATGTAACAGTAAATAATGAGGTCATATTGTCAATGCAAAGCCCCGCACCAACACAAAGTAAACTTCCATTTCAGTCGTTTTCATCACAATATGCTTGTCCAATTATTATTTTTTGTTCTGGAGTTTCATCCCAAAATGAGCTTGTTAGCATTTTGACCTAGCCCAAAGTAATATCATATTGTGTCACAGTGCTGGATGGTGATCAGACAGAACCAACATTTAAAGTAAAATAAAATAATTTAGATAGGTCAAACAATAAAATAAACTGCAAGGGAAAGAAGTAAGTAAGTCAATTCTTAAGGGTAAGTGCATAATTACTGAGAAGCACTATGCTCACTGCTGCCTCTGGTGGCAGGGGGCTTATTACAAAAGAAGTTAAAGATTGAAATGGTGGTATTTAGCCATTAATGAGCAGACTTCCTGAGATTTTACAAAATATGTTTCATTTCCACCTTAAAAGTTGTTAAGGGGAGTTTCAAAATGCCTCCATTCCTCGTAACACATGTATTTGACATCAGACAGAAGTGTTTGAATTCCATCAGAAGACATCCAGCACTGTATTTAAATATGATGAAAAGGGCCATAGGTTTAACCTGGGCTCAATAAGGAACATTAAGAATGTCACCAGGCTATGCTATATCTACGCAAAGAGAAACTCCAAAAGTCATCTCTAAAAGTAATGTTCAGAAGGTATCGTCAGAATTTGGCTGCAGGCGAAACACTGACTGAAGCATATGATTGATAATGACACACCAATACAGAATTGCATTTCTAAACATGATATTAGAAACACAGGGGCTCGAAGTGAAACAGAAAATAACTTCTGCTTTAAAGTCCACATGAAATCAAACTGACAAACATCACTCACTACTTCAAGTAAAAGGGACAACTCATAGAAAAACAGGTCGAGTGGTTCAGTCCATGAGAAAAACATCAAACGATGACACATAAGAAATAGCACTTTTCCAATATTTCAAATTCCCAGCATAACGACACCTGATACTCCAACCCTTTCCAAACACTCTCCAGCTTCTGCTCACTGTCTGTAGAGCACTACAATATTAATTTAAGATGTTCCTTTAAAACAAAAACATGTCAAATAAAAGCCAGCTCCTAAAAACGGTTAAAATCCTCCTCCTATAAAAAGAAAAGAAACGTAGAAAAACGATTTCCCTCATCTCGCCTGTCATTAGTTGAATGTGTGACATCACAGCTGTGGAGGAGAGGCAGTTAGCTCAGTTTGTCTAAACACACGGTACAACCTCACACTCGTGGATAAGGAAATATATCTGTACAATTTGTTGCTGTCACTCAAAGGATGCTGACGTCTAAAGTTGTTTTCACAAGTCAGGTGTTTGTCACATTAGAGGGAACCAGTGATTGATCTTTATCAGTTGTTTTTGATTTTTCCTTTCGTAATGTGACCATAGTGAAATATATTGAACCTGAACTGGACCCGGGGCCGAATTAACCCGCCCACTTTTTTTGTTCTTTATGTATAGTCTATATTAGTTTATAGTTATTATATTAGGTGGTGGTTATTTGGTTAAGCACAAATATGTTCTGGAATATGCACTATGTTAAACCAATGTGAAATAATAATAAGACTTAACACTAAGGCTGAGCAATACGAGTAAAATCATATATCACGTGATGTTAGAACAATTATCTTAATATTGACATATGACAATATTTTTCTTTGAGTTGACCAAACATTTTAACACTATGAGAATCCCAATCAATAAAAAGCCTAAGCGGGAAAATGCAAATGAAGAGGAGCTACTTAGTCTGCTAAAAAGTTTAAATAAAAAAGACTTTCAACTTAATGATATTGCTTTCAACTTAAATAATACATTATAGGTAATCTTTGAAATAATATATTTAATTGAAGTCAACTTTTCAATTTTTTCAATATCTAACATATGACCCAACCCTACCTAACTACACATCATGGCAAGTGTATCCTTTAAGGGCAAGTTTCATAATAGCTTCTCAAATTTGATAAATAATGAACCCTTAAAATATCATAGTGACATCATCGGGTTTTAGGGGGCTAAACATAAAGAAGTACCCATTGTAACTTGGGCCCCTTTACAGCACATTACCTCATAATGAGGTACAAATGAAAGTAGTGCTGTGAAATCACATGAGTGTATTTTGTTCCTCAGTCGGTGTGGCATATTCTTGAACATATATGTGATTAAATAAATAAAAGCACAAACTAAGTGCCACACAGTGAACCTGGAGTCTTTGGGCCCTGAGGGACCTACCTGCTTAGCCTGATGTTAATCCAACCTTGTCTGGAGGTCAAATCTTAGCAAAACGCAGGGGGGAGGAGTGAAAAAACTCAACCAGTATCGACTTTTTCATCTCTTCACTGAGTATGGGTTTGTGACTACATTTCCTGAGAAAAAAAATTGGAGAATAGAGATTTGAGAATCTCCGAGGAGCGATAAATCCAGTATTCTCTCTAAACAAATACTTAAGCAACGCCTCATCCTGTAGCATTTTCCTACCAGCAAAACACTTACGGACACAGGTAATACCATCAGTAGTGTGTGATATATCCATGTCGGCCCTTATATATATCAGTAAAAAAAATCCCTTTGAAGAAATACCTGGGCGGTTTGAATTCAACTATTATTTTCGTCACAGCTCGTTGCTAGCAGCGTTGTTAGCATGTGAGTGGAGCTGGAAAACAACACGTGGAATTCAAACAGTCGAGGTGCTCAGCCTGGATCCAGCCACTATAGTGCATAAACACAGTACAGGCCACACCTTCCTCTTCCTCTCTTTCTTCTTCACGGCATTACAATATGGAGTTGTCGGTCCTCAGTTTTGTTGTCTTGGTTTTTAAATGTCAACGGCCTTTAAGTTCTCTCCGCATGGGGGAATGTAACTAGTGGAGATGCAGGACCTGTGTGTGTGTGTGTGTGTGTGTGTGTGTGTGTGTGTGTGTGTGTGTGTGTGTGTGTGTGTGTGTGTGTGTGTGTGTGTGTGGACCAGAGGTTGTATGAACTTGAGTTATACCGGTGATGTGCTTTGTGTCTGAGTATTTCGATGTCAGTCATGTTTTTCTGCATGTCTCTTCGCTATGTGTGTGTGTGTGTGTGTGTGGGGGGGGGGGGGGGGGGGGGGGGGGGGGGGGGGGAGTTTGGGGGGGTTCCCAGGTCATGCATTGGACATCTCGGCCTTGCTGAGGGCGATGGCCAGCTCCAAGTCCTCCTGCTCCTGCAGCCTGAGCCTCTTCAGCCGCTCTCGCTCTGCCCGCTCACTCTCTCGCTTCGCCCACTCCAACTGCTGAGCCTCGTTCCCAAACTACACACAGCAAGACAAACCGTTTGACAAACCTTAAAATAAGAAATATACATTTGTGAAAACGGCTAACCAGGAAGGGCGTTGGCTAACAACAACTCAGAGAAAGCTACCTAGCATACAACAAAGGAACAAAGATAGAAAGACTGTCCTCCTATTTCTGAAAGTGAAATATATGGATGGATAGAGACATAAAAATGTAATTTCCTTTTTCAGCAACACATGATAACATCCCTAATATCACATACTGCTCTTTAGATTATGTGAATTAATTATCATCATGTTTAAGTACATTTTATTGTGTGTTCAGTCTCTTACCTTGGATTTGTCAGGTCCTGTCAGAGAAGTGGATTACAGAACAGAGACATTATTTATTAGAATTCAGAGCACAACACACCAACATTGTGAAGGGATTCCTGCACAGTTTCTCTGTCTCTGTGTTTACTTACTTGTTTTTCTTGGGGGCAAAGGGATTATGATTTTTTATTTAACATAAATGATGATTTAGTTTAGCTTACCCCTAGATTCCACCGGGTCCGTCTGTGTCGCGTTACGGCCGCGTTACGGCTGCGCTGCGGCGTTCGCAAAGATCGCGCCCACTCTAGTCAATGGGTGCTATTCCACCAGACGCGCCGCGTTACGGCTCAGAAGCGTCTCGGTGCTGGGCTCCGCTCAAAATAAGATGCAAGTCTATTTTTCGACGCGAGGCGTTGCATAGCGCCGGGCAGGAAGTGGACCGGTCAGAGCATCAAGTCAATCCCCAAAATAAACTAATTTTGCAGACCCTATCCCTCCGTAGTCTTTCAAGTAGGAGGAGAAATGCCAGCGTTCTCCTCCGGTTTACAGGCACTGTGTAAATTATATATATAGAATAATTATGATGATGAATGCATTTTTTTACCACTAAAATACAGCAACACATCTTTGATTCATGTCGTTTATAACTGGAATATTACAATTATTATTAACTTTGTCTGTACAAAGTAGACTGTCCAGGAAATATGCCCAAATCAACAAAAACTGCGAGCCGGCAGGCAAGACGCTCCGCTTCTGAAATGCTCCTGAAACGCGCTCGGTAGGGTATGACGCCGGAGTAGACCGGACCAAAACCGCGGCGCAGCTGTGACGCGACGCAGACGGACCCGGTGGAATCGAGGGGTTAGTCAGTTTGTATCAGATGGTGAAGCAGATGCCTGCGCTGATATCAGGCAGCACAACAAATATGTAGAAGTATGCTTAAGAGGTGATAAAAAGCCAAACTTCACTAACATAATAAGACGTGCATATCGAGAAGTGACATCAGAGTTCATGAAGTAAACATCTAGCAACACAGATGGTGAATTTAGTAACAGAAAGCAAGGCAGACAGACTCCAGAGCTGACAGTTGAGAGGGGATACTGCTGTCTCAGATTCATCTGAGTAGCACCATTCAGCCAGAATGCATTTCTACTACCTTTATAGAGCTCTGCTTAATCCATCCTCACAAGTCTTTAGGAGCATGTTAAAGTCCCTACAGTGTCAGACTATAAAATGGTCTTGTGTCTGTGCATAGCTGTGTGGCCATGTCTACTCAGTGACAGTTAAACAGCATCAACCATCTCAACTTACACAACTGGAGTCTGCAAAACCTGATGTTGAGTCTTTAGGGACATTACTTGTTGCCGAGGGTGCGGCGAAAGGGTCTTTGCCGCTGAACGGGTCTCCCACGCCCTTTTTCGTCTGAAACGGGTCGATGGTGTCACTGCCAAATGGCTGGAAAGGGTCACATGGTTTGGAAGGGTCAACTGCTCCAGACGTGCTCACTGGAGTACTTTTACCTGAAGACAAGAAGGAAATCATCAATACAATCAAAAAGAGAGCAGAGAGATTTCAGATAGGCACGGTTCTATATGTTTCCATCATCCTTTCAGAGTTAAAAGGGGCATATACAACAGCGTTGATGAAAACTCTTAAATGCTAAGGCTTTAACTATAATAACCAGAATTTGTATGCTTCCGCCAACCACTCAAGTTGGGTTAAACCCCAAGGAAGTGTGCCGGGCATTGAAGCAAATTTGCATAGTGGCCAAACGCTGGTACTACAGTTTCCATTTCAGTCTGTGACGTTTTCAGCTAAAGTACGAACACTGTAATAGTCCCTATTGGAATGATTACGTCTTGAAAGTAGCAAATTTCACTAAAAGACAAATTCCGGGTTATTTCTCCTCTCCTTTCATTTGACTGTCGAGAGGCGGGGCTTAAGGAAACCGCAAGTGCTCGTTCTCTATGAGTCCAACTGCCCTGTAATCCACAATTTTTTCCTCGAGTCAGGCCATTTTGGCTTTATGCGCCACTGAGCAACTTTCATAGGAATGAGAAGCTCCTCCAACTCTGATTCCAGTTCCCTTTACACATCAAAGTCGATAGGCGCGTTCACACCGGAGTACTTTTACCCATACTTTTCCCGTTTAGTTCGGATAGTGCCTGGAATTTTGCATTCACACCAAAAATGCCCCTTTCACACCAAGGCTTTTCCCGTTCTAGCTCTGTGCTAGAGCTTTTCTGGTTCGGAACCGGTTCTTCGGTTCAGCTCCCGCTCTGTTCACACCGCTCAGAGCCCGACTGGTGCTGCGTCATTGCGTCATCATTTGCGTCATGACTTACCGTTTGCGTGCCTGCTTCATAAAGCCAAACCGCGCGGAAACCCCTCACATCGACAACAACAACGACCGACCAAATGGGACGACTTTACTACCAACTTTACAGTCGTTAAATGCTACATTCAAAAGTTCTTTACAATCATCATCATCAACTTCGATTCCGTAGGAGAAAGAAGGTAAATATACGTCCTATTCAATGGCATTAGAGCTAGCTGTTGTTAGCCTCTGCATGCGCCAAGCTCAAAATACCCAGCTTTGCAGCATTAATTACTATGGTATAACATTAAAACTGATGCCCCTGCCCCTGCCCCTGCCCCTGCCCCCGCCTCCGACGTAAGCGTGATGTATGCGGTGCTTGCTTTCTAGACCGACAACTTTTTGGTCCTTGAAACAAACCGGATTCCGGAGCTTAGAGGCGGCTCCGCTGCGGTGTGAACAGGAAAAAACCGGAGCTTTTCAAGCTCCAGCTCCGAACCGGCCCTGGAACCGCGTTTGTGTGAAAGGGGTAAAAGAGTACTTAGTTCCGAGAACTTTTAACCCCATTTTTAGTGCCTGCTAGAGAGGTGGGACTATCCTGGGGAGAAAAAAGTACCAATTTCGATTGGCTGGGCGATTGGAAACCACGCCCCGTAAAACTCTGAAAAGTTTTGTGAATCCGCCATTGTATTTGCTGGCATTAGCATTATTAGCATTAGCATTAGCCCCGCGCACCAACGGAGAGAGAATAACTTATGGCAACACAAAAAAAAACATGGGAGCGGTGGAGTGATGAGGAGGTGTCGGCGTTCTGGCGATTTACTCGGAAGGCTTCAGTAGAAGCTGCTGGGAGTCCCAGCAGCTTCTACTGAAGCCAGTCCCCAACTCCGGGGACTTCCGGCCAGGGACTTCGGGTGGCAGTATACACCGTGAAGTGGTTTGCGGCCTGCCAGTAAACCCAAAGCAGAAGAAGAAGAAGTGACGTCAGCGGCTTCATTTGCGTAATCTTCCCTCAAGGAACTTATTCCGGTGTGAACGCAATCTGTACTTAGTTCCATGGGGGTACTAAGTGCTGGCACTAAGTGCTGGGCACTAAGTACGGCAAAGTACTTGGTGTGAAAGCGGCTATTACTTGACATTTGTTTTTTGGCCAAAAACATGTTTTGTGAGGTCACAGAGATAATGATCTTTGTTATCCAAATTCATATATATTAATCCATCCTAGTTGAGGTGTCAAATTTAGAGAAATTCCCTCCAGCCAATCCTGAGATGTTGTTCACACTAAATGGTAGGGCTGTGCAATTAATCGTATTTTAATCGCAATTACGATTTTGGCCTGCCACAATTACGAAAACAACATAATCGAAAAAAACGATTATTTTGCTTTGCTAGGTTGTGACAGTGCACTAGAACATACTTGATCTAATTTATTTTAGTCTAATTTATTTTTATTTATCATATTTATATATGTTTAGTAGCTTGTGGAAGTGCGCTCCAAAAATATTTGTTGATCTTGTTTATTGGTATTTATTATTTTGATATTATTTATTTAAATGTATCATTTATTTAATTTATTTTTGTATTGGTTTTTCAGTGGAATTATACGTTCAGGGTAATCAACAGTTAAAAAGATACTGTTCAAATTATTATTTGTTTTAAAGTTCAATAAACGGATGTTTTCAAAGTCAATGAATAATCGTATTTAATAATCGTGATATCAATTATTGACCAAAATAATCGTGATTATGATTTTTGCCATAATCGAGCAGCCCTACTAAATGGACAGAAAACCCGAACACATAAAGCCTCGGTCATGGCAGTCACCTGCGAAGAGGCATACAAAAAGGGAATAAGTAAAAACCGAAAAAGATAGTTCTCTGATTGCAAATAAATATCTGCAGTGTGGTGAGGAAGACAAGAGAGCTGCAAAGAAAAACACTAAAGCAGACATGTCAAAGGCTTCAGGTCTCACGTATCTCAGGGGGAAGATGTTCACTGCAGATTGCATGGGAAATTCTCTTAGTGAACTATGTTGATAACACAGGATCTGATTTGATCATTCAGGATTGAAACTCACAAAACTAAATGATGTAGTTCTCATGGGTCTGCCCACGCCCTGCAATAACTCTGCTGTCACCTCAGAGATAGCTACCAGCTCTGAAAGTTGTGCGAGTTTCACCTCCACACCACAGCAGTTCATAGCAAGTGCCAATACAAATCTTTCTGCAAGTTACCACATACAGTGCTACATCCTCCGCTGGTATGGGAAAGAACTGAGCGAAAGACAACACCCAAGGACAAAAACAAACGTGATAACCCATTACCCGCGCAACCATGCTCAACGGTTTCCTGGTAAGACTCTCGGTTGGGTTTCTGCCCACATTACAAACTGTTGGTTCACCAAAGTACCAACTACACAAATAACATGTTCAAAGACCACACACACATTCATTGTCCTCAAGGATAACTCAATACCATATTTTACACATACATTGACAAAGTCAGGATTTATGGACATATAATATCGCCCTGCAATTAAAAGATCATTACACTATCTTTTGATATTTTGGTGATTAATGAAACCATATCAAATATATCTTTTCTATATTAAAAAGAAAAAGAAAATACAGTTGTAGTGATAAAAGACCATCAGAATACCCCACAGTGGCAACTTGTTTTGTTTGACTAACAGTTAACACAGAGAATTATACAAAACAAGAAAAATCCTGACAGGGCCAAAAATGTTGATATGTTTTATTGAAGAATAGCTTGTGCATAGATTAGTATTAACAATAAATGATGATGAGACTTCTGTGTATAATGTTTCTGTGCTTTTTCTGTGTCAAGTGGTAAAAAATGTGTAGAAAATAATCAAATACATCTCTGTACATCTTGTGATGGAGCTATATTTTAGCCCTTGCCATCAGTGAAACATGAATCATTTCATAGAATTTAGCCACTAGCAAAAATGTGGCATATAGCTTTTTTTCTCTTTCTGAGATGAATGTATTCTATGCATGGTCCTTGTTCAATGAAGATATAGAATAAAAATAATCAAGTAAAAGGTCTAATCAGTAGCATTTGTCTTGACCTGAAATTAATTTGTCACACTTTAAGATCTTTTTAATGCCTTAAAAGCTTCTTATAGAGGCCCTTGAATTTACACCAGTATACTTGAAACACTTATATAGATATACTATAAAATGTGTTCTTGTTTATCACACATGCTGAAGAACCACAGGGGGTCTACAAATAAGAAATAATTTAGCAACAATAGTTATAGTAATGGCAGTTTCTGGTTAAAACAGGGAGCTGCAGCTGTGCATGGCAGAGGGCCGTGGGAACATAAAAAAGTGCACCATGTTGCTTTTATAGGTGTTAAACCACAGGAGCAGTCAAAGTGTTCACACACGTGTTTGGCTCTATTATCAAGATAACTGGGCTGTTCAGGGTCAGCTGTTCAGTTCACACCATGCTGAGCAAAGTTCAATGCCTGCCAATCATTTCTTTCCTCTTTCAGTAAACTGCGCACACACACACACACATGAGAAACCACAACCATCGGCTCCACCCGATTTTAAAATAACCCACTACATTAGTGTCATCTGATTTGACACACACACACACACACACTCTAAAGAGAGGGGAAGTAGGTTAGGGTGTGTCTGCAAACAACAAGCCAAGCTAACCACAGATCATCTCTCTTATACCTTCATGTGCCTACACAAACATCAGAATTGCGCTGTGTTAACAATCCTAATAGAAAATATCTATGAAATATTGAAAAGCAATAACGTGAATGTTTGAGTTAACAGTGGAGATGAAGCGGTCTGCTGCCTCTTCTTAAAACAAATACAAAACTGTAACACATGTCTCTTTAGTACCATTCTACAACCCCTGAGTCAGCAAGCATGCAGGGTAGTGTAATAGCACCAAGTGTGGCCACAGTTGAGGCTGAACACAGAGGGGTATTCTGGGTAATCGTGATTCACATTATCAACATTGATTCCCACGGGACAGTGTTGTGCCATCCCCAAGCTACATTTCTGTCATTTTTCTCCAACATATCTTTAATTATCTATCATTATTCATTTTCAATATCTGCAACCAGACACCATGCGTCTCATGTGTTATGGGCATAAAGTAGGAAGTGAGAGAATCCTTGTACAAATTCTACTACAACTACTTATATTTAATTTTTAGGCTGAGTTTCAGTGTAGCATGTTTACACTTGTATTTTAGGGTACACTATTGTCCAACGGTTTACAAACTGCACTGCTTTATAAGTTAAGGGTGCAGTATGGAATTGGAAGACCATGTTAGTGATGGACAGTATCTAAATCATAATAATCTGACATGTTTGGGTTCATGTTCCAGTAACGGATGCATCGATGTCAAGCAGACTTCTATAATCTCAACTAAATCATCCTAAGTGTTCCTGTGATTTCCGGGAACTGAAAATTGTTTATTTCCTGTACATTCAGGTGAAGTTTATTTGACTGACATGTTGACACATTAAGTCAAAAAGGTCAGCAGGAAATATCTGCACATTGTTCAGAGCAGGAGGTCCTATTTTTATAGCAAATTTAAACTGCTTTACATTAAAATAAATGGAGCAAAAGGTGGCATATAGAAGAATATGAAGGAAAAGCATTACAAACAAGCCTACAGACCACAACCACAAACACACACAGGAAGTAACAGCAATACATAACTTTGCACACGCAGAAGCATATTTAAGACCCTAAGCTTTTTGGGATGTCTTGCACAAAGTTCTTCTGGAGTCTTCCCTCCATTTGTACCAAACAGTCTAACCTTCTAGGTTTCTCTTAGGTTTCTATTTTTAATTGAAACCTACAACAAAGAAGCCATTTCCCCTCGTGCCAGTTCCTGAGAGCTTTGATCTCTGGTGATCTGAGCACTGTGAGTCGGATAGTCCTCAGAAGCCTCTGTTGCACTAGAAAGACTGTCTTTAACAAGTTGGGCTTGTTGGGCCTTGTTGGTAATGTCAGTGTCTTGATCTTGATTGAATGGACAATGGAATTGGCTGAAGCCAAGCTCTCAATCTACCATGGATGTAAAGGCCCTGACACACCAGGCCGTCACCAGAGAACTCGCCGACACCGACAGTTCCATCGACGTGTTCTCCTGCGTCTTGGCCGTGTGTCGCACTGGAACACACCGCAAAGACTTCAGCCGAGCAAGTACGAACTGCGCATGCGTGAGTGGCAATAACTCTCCTTACCAGCAGGCGGCGGTAGTATGTATTCGTCATTCAAAATAGGCAACAACCGGAAGACAGAGAAGAAGAACAGACTGATATAAACAAACAACAAATAGCGTGTGCGTTCCATTTTCACTCTCGTCCATCGAAAACATGTTTTAGAATATAAAAATACATGAATGATGAAATGAGCACATAAAGTGCAGACATACTATAAAATCACAGTTAATAGACCTGCATCTGATGATCGCAGTGTTCTGGCGGGTGTGTAGTTTATTAAGTCAGCAATGTAGTAATGTATGTAATGTCATAATGGCCACTTCTTGCTAAATTTACATTTCCATGTGATGCTTTTATCCGAGGCGACTCACAATAGGTAAATGAACAGCAGTAGACAGTATCTCATTTACTTAGACACTGTACTTAAGGACAATGTTGAGGTACTTGAGACTAATCCTGCAACTTTATACTGACAAATAAACCGATGAGATGAAAAACCGGACTTGACCAAACAAATCACGGAGCTCTCAGCAGAGGACAGCCGGGCACGCTCCCGCCGATATCAAAGATGTCCCTGCTATGTGTGGGAGGTAAGAGAGGACATTTAAGGGCTATGTTTGATGTCTTTAAGTATCACCTGCTGGGGTTTAGCTGCTGTCCTGTGCCTTTTTAAATCGTTTGTTTACGTACCTCACTTCCGTTTCGCTTCTCATTTGCTAGCTGAACAGCTGATCAGAGTGGTTTCTTGGCCCGATAGCTTGTATCCGCATTTTGGCCGATTCAACATGTTGAATCGGTCATGTGTCGACCGTGAAAGGCCAAATAAGGCGTGTCACGGCCGAGGGTTCGGGACACACCAAATTGACTTTGGGCGACAAGGAACGCGTTGTCGCCAGACAACCGAAGACGGCCTGGTGTGTCAGGGCCTTTAGATACACCAGGGTGGTGATATGGGCATGGTGGAGATGTGGTTATCACATGAAACCATCAAGCTTAATCGGTGTTTAGATAAAGTCCCCTTCCTTCTTAAGCTGACCTTTGTTGCACTAGCCTGGGACAGATCATGTATGTATTCAAAGACGCTTCTTCATCGTTCATCTTTCTAACACGGTCAAATTATCATAGTGGATTTCTCTGAGAGATGTTTAAGGTAATGAGTCCCAATAACTCCAACACCCTATAATACAAAAAAAGGTATCACACTCACCACTGGGGGGTTTGGGCCTTGGAGGGACACTTTTCTTCGGTGGCAGAGCTGGCGTGTCACTCTTCCTGCTGAATGGATCATCCACAAACACGGACTGGAAAGAGTCATAGAGAGGATATGTGGTTCTATTAAAAATAGCTGTAATTTATTAAAATGTGCATAGAAGAGTGAAGTGAGCAACAGGGAGTTGAGCCAGGTGAGGTTGAAAGTGCAATAAAACCTTCACCAGTAATAATCCAATACTGTATCATTTCACATGAAGAAAAGGAATAGTTCAAAGTGTCTCGCACACGGCTGCTATATTTACACAAGCACACACACTAGCTCAGCTAATAGCAAACTGATAGAAACAGCTACAACAGAAGCTGGTTTTAAATAGAGGAACTGATTCTCCTTCTTTATTCTTGAAACTATTGTGATGACTCCAGCTCCATCGAACGCCACACTGATTCACCATGCTGCGTTTTAAGAGATGGAGGAAAATGGGAACATCTGGACTTGGACGTGTGTGTACACACTTTTTACACACTTAGTGTAACTTTTTGTTCAATAAATATAATAGTTCACAATCTCTTGATTACACAAAATACATTTACCAACAATAGACTCTTTACAGAAACATTAACTGATGAAAAAGATAATGTTTTAATAAATTCTAAAACTTTTCTCATATGATTTTTCCTTTTTATGATTAAAACATTTTTTAATGAAGTAATGCAAAGTAAAAAATGTAAGAGCATTGATGAAGAACACTAAATAAAGAATAAGCATGTCTCTGGTACCTTCTGGTAGTCCGGCAGCCAGCCGGCCCGGCCCTCAAAAGGCTCTCTGGGCTTCGACATGAGGCTGAAGTCTGCGAAGCCAGCTGAGCTGTTACTGCTGCTGCTGAACGAACCGCTGCCAAACGGGTCCAACGTGCCTAACAGATCTGAAGAAAAATATTATATCAGTAAGCATATTTACAGCTATAGTCTATTACATTGATTACAGTCAGTCAGTCTGCTATGTCGGTCCAGACTGAAACATCCATTGCTGGATTGAACATTTTGTACACACATAAATGCATCCCAGTCAATACATGTACTAACTTTGACCATCCCTTGACTTTTCTTCCAGGGACATCATGGGGTTTGGATCTATAGGTATGGGAAAACATGCCTCGATAAATTATTGGATAGATTACCGACACACACAAGAATTAGCAATGACAATTAGCAATGTTAGCATGGGAACAGACATAAACAAGAAGGTGAACATAGTAAACATTAAAGCTGGTAAATGCTAAGTTTGCTAGCATTGCCATAGTGAGCATAAATGTGATGTTAGAATTCTTCCATTGCTTCAGGATATACTTTTGTTTCCAATTATTAGTTGTAAGAACATTTTTGCATAGGGCTATGATGACAGGATCTTAGAGTTGAACATTCATCCATTTGTATGACAGTTGTCCAAAGCAGCTTCAGGCCTGCCTACATATTGCACTAAATGATAGATAATACACAAGAATATTGGTTTCATAAATGTGAAAGGGCCCTTCAGGTAAAGAACATTTAGGTTCGTGGTCATAAACGCCAGGCCTAACTTGAGCCAGTGTTGATGTTAAGTAGCTGTTTTTGAAATGAATAAGCTAATGTGACAGCTATCCTCAGCTGCCATGGTTTAAATAGGCAAGCCACCATGGTGACCTCAGCCTGCGTCAACATGACCTCAGTGTGGTGACAGGCTCAAGTTCCTCCAACCTCTAAGGCATTCAAGCTAATCCACATTGTGTACGTGTTTGTATGGGCTATATTAATATCATGAAGGAAATTAAAGTCATTTTCTTCTGCTGGAGTGAACTAACAACTGACTGAAAGAGCTGCAGAGATATATATACATTCATGAGTGTCATGCCATCACAAAAACAACTCAAGCAATGACAGACAGTAAGAGGATAGTACAACTGATTGAGACTATTTATGGCAATATTTGGCACAAAGACTGAGAGATTCCATTCATTTGAATTCAAAAATAAATACATTAAGTTCACAGAAACTGCAGATGTTGGAAATTAAAATAAACCGTACCTGGTACTTTGGGTTTTGGGTTGCCTGAAGAGAATGGGTCATTGCTTGTGAAGTGACTGGTTGGCTGCTGCAAGCAAAACAAGAGTGAAAGCATTTATATTTTCAAAGTATTGACTATTGTAAAGAAAACTCGTAAAAAAAAGATTTTATTTAAAAAAAGGGGATTTTATTTAATTATGATAAGTGACTTCCATGTTTCTTGCTTTTGGTCTTAAACAAGTACCTTGGAAGGTAATGTGGCACTTTTACTGAAGGGGTCTGGTGTGGAGAAGGGATCCATCTTTGTGGTCTTCTTAAAGAAATCTTCAGACGAAGACTTGAACGGATCAGTCTCTTTGAACGGGTCTCCTCCAAAAGGATCTGCGGCAGAAATGATGGATAACTTTAACTTTTCAATTGTTCATTTCAAATTCCCCAAAACGTTAGCGTGTTAGCCTTTCAGTTTGATTATGATACCAGATAGGTAATAAACCCAGGCCCCGCATCCAGCGTCACATTCCAATGCGGTTAGACAGAACTGTTCTATTATCTCTGTGATATGCTTTGGGTTAACCAGATACAAATTAAATGTATGACAGGCGTCACACTAACGATCAACAACAATATATAAATATGTGTGAGAAAATTATGAGATCTATCACTGATCTTCATCTACCTCACAGAGAAGTGAAACCTCACAATATCACTGAAGAGGGAAGTGTGACAGAGGTCACAGAAACACATACTGCTGTTTCACATATGTGGGGGCACAGCTACAAACACAAGGCTGCCACCAAAAGCACAGGCAGGACGTGTATGACTTTCATTTGGGGGTTAAGACACCATTCACCAGGGAATCATACCGTTTATGTATATATAATAATACATAGGATATATGATATAAGATATATGAATGACTTTTATTCTATGCACAATTACAATCATGTGAGCTATAAATGAAAAACTCAAAGGGCAGGTGGGATGCTTTATAAGCCATATTTTAGCAACCACATTGATATTTAGATAATAATACATTGAGGGTATCTGATGGGGGGACTTATGTAGATGCACCAGACTAATAATATTTTACACCAAATATTGATTCTTGAAATGCTTAAATTGTACATGCAGTCCAAGGAGGTGTGTACAGCGTTCAACAATTCCATTAAGAGGGACAGATTTTCTTGTGAATTGAACTATATCAAAATCTGAGTCTTAAGGCAATACCTGTGACAGTCGATGGCTGCTTTGCAAAAGGGTCATTTTGGAAAGGGTCCCCTACAGGAGAAAGCGAAGAGCAGGCGGAAAACAAAGACACAGTCAGAAAGCAACTCAAGGTAAAAAAAACTAGAAGGAACCTGGAGGAAAGAGAAAATAAAGATAAACGGCAGTACAAACATAATCAGATAAGAACAAGAGGCAGAAGGAGCAGCAGGGACAATGACTAGAGCACAACAGTGAACTGTGACAAAAGAACATCATTATTCACGAGTGAAGCAACTACCTATCCCATCATTCCTTGTAAATGTCAACTTGTGGCCTCTGAAAACTTCCAAAATAACCATTCTCGGTCTAAATCAAGACAGAATCAGCAATTGCATAGATTATTTTCTGCCTTAAATGTTTTCAGAAATATCTTCGTATAAAGACAGTTTCCAAAAGAGCCGCCATATTGGTCTGGGATGAAACCCATGAACATCGAGACGACACTGTTGATATTTTCTACATTATTGCTAACAATCAAATCATTGTACATTAATAAGATCACTGTCAAGCTCTATGATAGAGGAGGAGTGAGAGAAGATGAGTGGAAGTAAAGTAGAGGGTGATGCTAACCTTTGAAGGGGTCTGTTTTGAAGGGGTCTTCAGAGTGGAAGGGGTCAGTGTGGAGCTCCTGAGGCTGGCTGTTGAACACAGATGGCTTCACTTTGAATGGATCCTCCTGTGTAAGGACAGAGACGAGAATAGTACACAGTCTTAGCACACACACACTTACATACACACCACATGTCAGTAATGATAACATTGCGTACACAGGGTCAGATTCCCTAAGGTCTCTGTGCCTTGTGTCTTCTATTCAGGCAGAAGACACAAGGCACACTCGCACAGCAGGAGTCACAGTTTGAATGTCCAAACAGTGACTATGTGGTCCTTACTGTATATGCGTGCACATTTAAAATATACAGTTGATCAACAACTCATGCATTAGGTGTACAAATAATAACCAATAACAACCAACTGGATGAGGGTTTATAACTACCAACAGATTGAGAAATTGAGCAGTAATTATTTTTGAAAACAACAATGTAATATAAAATAAACAGGGGTGTTGTGGTTTGTGAATTAAATTGAATTTACAATAATTAAACTTTTAACGAACTGTCAGCCATTGTGTAATACTTAATTCGACAATATCAACGTTTGGCTTCATATCAATATTTGGCTAATCAATACCATCTCCACCTGCTGCGTTCTGAACACCTGGACAGGCAGAGCCTATCTTCTCTCAACCAGTTGAAGTGGATAATATATATTTTCTGCAATTTATTCCATTTCTTTTTAATTTCCTGTTCAGGGTTTCTCTAGTTCTCTTCCCTCGTCCTAAAAATTGAAGTATTGTCATTTGTATTTCTCATTTGGAGTTTAACTTTGGTCAAATATTGGGATGTACCATTTGAAATCTGGTAGAGCTTTAGTCCACTGAGAGATTGTTAGCAACATGCTACAAGGTATCATTTTCAGTTGGACCTCTCCAACCTTATCCTTTCTGATAATCCGAATAAACTGTTGGATATTTGTAATGTTAGAAGAAAGAAGTTGACTTAGTCACCATGACGTCACCTATAGGTCTGTGGAATTTATTTTTGAGTTGCAAGTTTGGGCAGTTGCCATCTTTGTTTTGGAACCATAAGTGACTAGAGAGAAAGGGCCAAAACAAACCTTTACCTTTCATGAACTGAAAAAACATTGTGGAAGGTTTCAAGTTTGAAGACAAACACATGGAAAGGTCTTTTTCATAGGATCATTTTTTCATACACTTCCATAAAACCAGTCTCTTTGAAACCACTTGACCCGGCTGGATGTTAAACAGATTTCTGAAGGCACTTGTCCATTGGCTTTCATTTTTTTTTAATGGAAGTTTGTCGCCGTCTAATCCTCTGACTGCTGTTGTTTTCTGCCCATTTGACATTATTGTAGAAATGTCCTTCTGCTTGCTGGTCTTCGCGATCATTTGTAGACACAATGTAATCAGAAATGGTAGAAAAGATAGACAAAAGCTAACCCTAACCTTAACACCTACCTTAAGTTGTAACAAACCACATCTATCCTTCAATCTTTTTAAGAAGAGCAAACTCTTTCCTACATAATTTAACCGCACACATAACCACACATCATCCATATTCCCCTTTCTCTGTATGCACTCTGCTACTAGCGTTGAAGAGAGGAAGCCAATGCGTTGAATGTAACATTCTTCTAAGTGTGCATTTGTGTGCAATTACTTAGAGAGGTGTCTTAAAATGCCAGCCTGACTCTGTGCTGAGCTCTCTCTTGTTATGATCCACTTCAGGATCTGCACTTTCATAGAAAACCCCGAGTGTTATCCTGCTGTTGATCCCAAGAGCTGTTGGCCAGGTGTGAGAGGGACTGAGCCAAAGTCATTATGGGATTTGGAGTAAAGTGAATAGAAGCCAAGCTAAAGTGAGGAATTAGATGAGTACAGTGCCCAGGGGAACACAATGGAGAATCAGGAAGAAAAACAATAACCTAGATTTTAGCGATGGTCGGTTTAACAGAGCTAAGAGTGTGGCATGCTGTAGAATGCAGACGGGTGCTAATCCCTTGTCTAGATAATTTAAGGGAACATGAGATGATGATAGAAGGTTCACAAAGCCTGTTTTTATCTCTATTCTGTGCATTCTTAGCATTAGAATGTAAGTCAAATAATATTTTGGCTGATAAATGGCTTGAGAGACTACTTTTTGTATCTAAAATAATATTTAGCTGCCAGAAAATAATTCAAAATACAATTGGGTTTGACCCCCTGAAGAAGGTTAGACACAAAATACACAATGTCCCACTAATGCTGACCAACTCTGGTCCACTTTCTAGCAATTATGTCTTTTTATAAAGGAAAATCAGGCTGACAGTGAGAAAATAGAGAAAGGGAAAAGAGCCCATGAGTTAGAAAAATAAACATTTCTTCTTAGTTTGTCATAAATATAAGAATCCACAAATATATCGTCTAACTCCTCGCCACTGCAACAGAATGTTGCTCTGTTCTACTTCTGAAGTGGTGACAAACAAGCTATTTGTATGTGGGTCTTTATCATCACTAACAAAAAATACAGTAGGCCATTTAAATACACTATTCATTTTTAGAAGAGAATGTTAAGAGCGTTAAGAAAAATAAAACGTGTGCACGAGAGGCAGTTTTCTATCTGCTAGCCTAAATGCTTGACTTGGTAATGCTCCTCAGTTTTAAAGTATTCCAGCCGATTGAATGTTCTTCAGGTAGAGCCCTTCTATCTAGAAATGAAATATGTCTACAGCCACCTTGGGAGGTAAGAGTTCTGATCTGACATCCTGACCTGCGGGGCTCTCACCATGGACGGGAATCCTCCGTTCTCTCTGTCGCTGTAGCCTTCACTCATATCGGCCAGGTTGGTCATGCTGCCTCCGTGGGTTCCATTCAAGGTGCTGTTGTACTGCTCGATGCTTTTAGACACTTCCTGTTGGCTGTCCTGGATCTGGGACAACTTGCTGCGAGCCTGCAGGATACACACACACACACACAGTTCAGTGCTCTTCTTGCTTTCCTAAACTCTTTGTCGATGTCTTTGCTTTGTGCAGCCTCCTGCTGAACACCTGCTGGAGTTCCTCGCAAATAAGCACACACACACACACACACACACACACACACACACACTCACAACTGTTTTCACAGCAGTGTTTACATCATGAGAACAGGGTTGAAGCAACGACACTGTGAACAAAACATTATAAATCGGAAACAGACATCTACTTAAAATAGATTTGAGAATCAGGTAATGGTATCTAGCCATGTCAATACATCTGGTTTTATTTATCCAGGTTCACCGATTTCTTCCTCCCCTCTAATACAAAGCAGGAATTCTGTTAGTGGTGCTCATTAACAAAACATTTTTACATTAAGCATGTAAAGGTTTATACTGAATATTCAATTCAAGTCTTATGTACACTATATGTTCTATATACATCTAAACTTTTCTACATAGAATGTAAACACTAGGTGAAGTTGTTTTTAAGTGTTTTTTTGGGGAAAACCATAGCTTTAAATTAACAGTGTTCTGCTTTAGTACATTTTTCAAAATAAAAACCGTAAAGCACATCATTCATAAAGAAAATTCAAAACATTTACAACTGCACGGAACCTTTTGCCTTGATATCTAAGAAGACAACAAATATTGACTTTTTACAGCCACTTTTGAAAAGAAACAATGCTTACAGTAGTAAATGGATTATAGGTATCACTTTGAGGCACTTTGAGATAGAATATCAATAGAGACCTTTTGTTTTTATGGTATATGGCATGTTTTTTAGTTGCCTGAACTGCTGGAAACCCGCTGCAGGAGGGAGAATTTATGAATAATCAAAAGGTCTAGGGGCAGTGTGTCATTAGAATCAACATGACAGTCCCTGGAAGCAATAAGACTGGATATTATTACAGGTGAACATGAGGAAATGATTAGCTGCTGAGACCTAAAGCCTCCGTGTGACCTTCTAACTCGAAGGAAGGAGCAAGTAAAAACTGTATTGGTTTTCAAATTCAGGAGAAAATAATCTTATCTGGCCTCAACCGTACGGCCAACATGATGGATGTTAAACAGAGAGAATGAAGAAACGCTATGCAACAACCACAGTGCATGTATCTGAAGTCAAGCTGTGGATATAAGTCGGTGTGGTGAAGTTATGTGTGAGAAATGAGTGGCTCTCTGTGTGTTTTATTATGGTGTTGTTTCCAGAGACACACCCAGAGTAGATAATGAAGTGCACTGGTGCCCCCTGTTGACAGTTGTCTGTAACACACAAACAGGCCTTGTTCCTACCTGGTTGATCTCATCCTGTGTTGCCTTCAGGGACTTGATGATGGTCTCCAGTTGGATCTTGCCAGCAGCCAGGCTCTGCTCCAGCTGGTTCTCCTCCTGCTGCAGCCGGCCCAGGTCGGCCTTGGCCCGGATCAGCTCTTCCTCCTGGCACTGCAGATCGGTCTCCTGGGAGTGGATCTGATTCTGGAGCGTCGAGATCTGGAGTCAGAGAAGAGAATGAGGTGAACACCTGCCAAGCGACAACAGCCCATTTTACATCGGGTGAATTATTCAAATCATATGCTGCCATCAAATGATTAAGACATTATCTGTAGCTCTGTGTGAGGTATCATGCTGTATTGAGCGTTATGAGTATACAGTTACTTTTGCCAAACAGAAAAAGAAAGGAGAGATAACTACAGATGATAAAACTTCAACAACAAACAACTGCCAGCAGACTGACTTCACAAATGAGACATTGTTTGGATCTCTGAAAATTCATTAAAACTGTAGCAAAGCTACTGAGGTGGCTGTTTCTCAGTCTGAACAGGGGTTGAAGAGGCGCTCCTCCTGGGTGATAACAATGCAGGCCAGCCGGTCGCATCACAGATTTCAGAGCGCTGGGCTCTGCCTGTTATTCGTCCTCCCAAATCCCATGGAAATGATTTACCTGTTGGACTTTGCACCCAGAGAGTTCCAGGGAGGACTACCACTTATAGATTCAGGATGCGCTTTTTGTAAATTGTGTAAATGTTTTCATTATCATTTTTTTGATGCATGCTTCTTAGGTAACATTAAGCTCTCTTTGGCTCTTTTCTGCTGTAACAATGTACATGTCCCCTCTGTGGGACTAATAAAGGTATTCTGATTCTGATCACCCGGTACACAGCCCTCCTGTTCCTTGTAATGCTTGTAGCTGCTAACTAGCTGTGAGTTAGCATGCCATTGTGCATTCTTTTGCAACACTGGTAAAGTGGTGTCATTCCCACATAGTCCATTCATTTCCACGTTAACTTCCAACCGTTGCATTTTGATTTCCAACACGGCACTCTTCTGTAAAATCTTCTGTAATAAAGTAAGCAGAGGCAAGAGCAAGCAGAAAAGCGTCTGCACTGTAAGAAAGCAGGAAGTGCATCCTCACCATGTGAGACTCCTCCTGGCACTTGACCCGGACCTCGTTCAGCATGTCCTCCAGCTTGTGTTTCTGCTGGTCCATCTCCTCCAGGCGGTCCTGGGCGTCTTGTTTCTGAGCCTCCAGCTCCTGTAGGCTGGCCGTCTCTCTGTCCAGGTCATTCTGCATCTCCTGAGCGAACGTGTAACAAAACGACACATTAGTACAAATCAAGTATCATGTGCCAAATCTAGGTGTTCATACACAAATTGCATGAGTTTGTATAAGGAGAGCACAATATTTCTCTGTGAACAGGTTCCCTTACCTGCACCTCTGCACTCTTGTGTCTGATGGCCTCCTCCGCATCCCTGATGTCCTGCTCCAGTGTGTACTTCTCCCTGACACATACACACAAAAACATATACACACAAGGGCACTCGTGAACACATACAAGCTGAAATATAACAGATAAAGAATCCAAGAACCCCCTGCTGTGTGCACAAATCAACAAGACAGAGTAACAAGACACTGGACTGGGTTTCTGTCAAATGCACTGACACAGATTTATAAAAACTGACAGGGAAAGTAGAGCTGGGTGTGTCTGTGTGTGCCCCTATGAAGAAAGGAGTGTGCCTTGGAAATGTATTCTTTTAGATCCTACATCATTTCCTCAGTTTGGAACATTGTGTAGGTTGGTGGGAGAAAACAACTTTGTGAGAACATGAATGTGTTTTCTTTTGGCAATGAACTGCACCAACATTTCCTAGTATTTTGTTATCCTCAAAATAACAAAATACAGGTTTTTGTTCATGTTATGGGAAGAGATATTATGTGCATTAACATGACCATCGGTAAAAAACGGCTTTGCGCTGACGTTGCTGTTTCTATGGATAAAGCGGAACTTTTGGAGGTCTCAAAGTACAAATTATTCCAACTTTGACCCCATCTACAACTGACCTGTTGACGTGCAACCAATCAGATGCCAACTGTATGTAGTGCCGCAAACTAGCAGGGGACGTAACCATAGAAACAAAACGTAACTAGCTGTTTTTACCCATACAGTCCACGGTTTCACTGCACCCAACCTCACGGTGAGCAAAGTGCAAATCACGTTTTACTGTATGTGAATGTAGCTTAAGGACAATCCTGTTTTATTATATTAAAAACGTTGGAAGATTTCCAATTTATTTGACTGACCCCAACCCTAAAGTTTTGAATGTAGTAAAGGGACTGTCAATTCTGTTCCCCAATCACTTTATCTGAAATTGACTTGGGAACTGCCATCTTCAATAGTATGAACATTTTTATAATATCCATTTGGGCATATCACAATAATTGAAAAACTGTAAACCTATCCTGCATCTTGAAATAGGGCACCAAGGGGATATGAAATAAGCACATTTGAATTGGAAGGCCACTTATAACCACTATGAAAGAACAGCAGATGTCAGAACCACTGCTCATTGTGTGTGTGTCACAGTAGATTAGACAGAATGCCAGTCCATAGATGTACAGTAGCTGGTTTGGTTACCTGATAGTATTCCACTGGGTAAAGGCAAGTGTGCTGACGCAGCATGGAGAATAAGTAGTGAACAAACAAAATTTGATAAAATACACACATCAAAAGAAGATTTGGCTGGGTGGCTGGATGAAGCGATGGAAGGAAGAAGGAAGCGATAGGATGAGAGAAAGCCAAGATGTGAAGTGAAGCTCGTCCAGGTTTGATAGTGCATGTTTGCTTTCCAAGTGTGCATTTTATCAGAGAAACAGGACCAAAGATGAACAGTTTATACAGAGATGAGGGTGATGCAGGGCACTGAGACAAACGACATGCCTCTCTGATTCTTTCTTTCTTTTTAGTATATATTTCAAGATGAGAATCCAGGGACTGGAGATCTCACATAGAATTGAATCTCCAATAACCACTTGCATGATTAAATGAACTGTCGTTCTCAGGTGGCATGTCTGATGAGATGAAAACAGCATGGCGGATACATTTTGCAGTGTGAGCTTTTTCCGTTCTACACTAGTACGCAGCATCAGGTTGGTGACGTTTCTACAAGAACATGTGGGAATAGAATCGGATCAGAGCAGCTTGGAATTAAAGAGGCCCCATTACGCTTTTGCCCTTTCTGTAGTGTGTGATATAGGTTGATGTGCATGTCAATGGTCTGCAAAGGCTACAATTCAAAAGTTCTTTCCAGAGGGAGTTTCCCTCCCACACATCCCCCCGTTTGCTGTTGTTATTACTGCATTACATTTTGGCTAAATACAATGTGCTATACTAACAGATAAACTGTTACCAATGCTGCGATGCTTAAAATGAAACAGTTTGGATGTATTCATTGTGTTTGCAGCTTTGAAAATTCAGTTGCCGTGTCACTGGTGCCATGTCATTGAGCCGTGCCACTGATAGAATTTGTTACCTCTGCAACTGTGCTATCTCCTGGCTGATGTCATCCAGATCCTTGACTCCGGTGAACTCGCCTGAACCCACTGAACTGGAGCTGTCCTGTACAGAGCCAGAGGCAGACCGAGAGAGAGAGAGAGGAGGAAAATAAAGAACACGTTGGCAAATTAAATCATATTTGTCAAAGAAGTGGGATTATGAATTGGTACCGAATGAACCATGGCAGACCAGGCCAAAGGAAGGAGAAGGAGGAAAAGAGAGGACAGGAGATAAGTGCTCGGTGAGAGGAGCAGCACAGAAGGTGGGGCTGGGGCAACACGTAGGGAGTGTCAACACCTCTGACAAACTGCAGAGGGAGGAAAGATTCAGGATTTTGCAATTGTATGAATATAAACCAGCTTTTTTTGGGTGAGGTAGGATACATTTCTTGCATAAACAAACCAAAGAAATGCTGGGTACACTGCTACAGTACATTATCATAGCATTTATAAAACCTAAAAAGTAATAAATTCCTACATTTATTTTTTTCGGTTCCCTGGTGGCTAGGGATGGGTATCGTTAAGGTTTTAACGGTACTACTATTTTTATCGATACCGCTTATCGATCCGGTCTTTTAACGGTTATCGGTTCTTTTGGAGAAGAAAATAAACTAATTGTGAACAAAACATTGCTTTTTATTTAAATTAAATACATAATATTTCACATCAAAAGAAACAACAATGTTTTAACAAATCGTATTAAATAATCTGGTGACAGAACTGTGAACAGAATAGCTGAAACTTTAACAAAATAAATAACTCAGTTCCCTCTAATCATTAACCCATGTTTGTATAATTGAGTTAGCTCCGTGTGTTGCTGCTAGCATACACAACACCTGACGTGGAAACGTTACTCGTGGATGGGGCTACAGAGCTACTAGAAAGACAGTCGAAAACGGTGCATTTCTCCGTCTGAACGTGGTGCACTTTTGCTAAATGTTTAGACAAACTGCTCGTGTTACCGCCCTTACATGCTAAACACTTATTGCACTTTAGGCAACGAGCGAGACGGGTAACATTTAACCACACCTCGGAGCGCGTTCTCTCCGCCATCTCCTCTGTGTGTGTGTGTTGCTGCATGTAGCAGCTGCGTATGTGTAAACTGCCCCGCCCCCTCGCAAGCAGGCGGGAGAGAGATCTCTCGTCTGGATTGGAAAGATCGAAAATACTAAAAATAATCATAGTTGCATTTTGCAGTCTTTTTGCGTATTAGAAACGGAGTTGGCGACACTAAAACTGCAATATAATGTTTGTGTAGCAATAATACATGACATATATTTTTTACGTATCTCCAGTAGGCCTACCGATAAAAACACCGATAACGTCGGAGCTTAACGGTACCACGGTCTTTAATAATTCAGCCCCGGGGCCCGTTTAATACCGGGGCTCGGTACCCATCCCTACTGTGTACTACAAAACAAGTACCGTAATTTTCGGACTATAAGCCGCGCCTTTTTTCCCATTTTTCGACCCTGCGGCTTATATAACGGTGCGGCTAATCTATGGATTTTTACAGCTAACGGCCACTAGGGGACCTCCTAAATCTATGGATTTTACAGGTTACAGTCCACTGGTGGTCCCCGTACCACTGGTTGAAAACCACTGCTGTAGATCACAGCACAGTACATGTTCTGTAGCTACTATTGCACTAAATGGTAACACTTGAATACGTTATGCAAATATGCAACTTGTTTGTTGAAATGTTAATAAATGGGAGCTTCCTCAAACAGCCATCTCTTTCCCGACAATCCCCTCTGTGCACGAACCCTTAGATATGGTAATTAAACATTAAAACACCTGCGGCTTATAGTCCAGTGCGGCTTATATATGTACACATCATTCAATTTAGCTGCTGCGGCTTATATTCAGGTGCGCCTTATAGTCCGAAAATTACGGTAGATTTCTTATACCTCGAAAATGCCCCAAACTATTTATCACATCCATTTAAAACAACCACAAGCTAACGCCGCCTAACAAACAGTCAGTGACTGATACTTCCTATGCAATCAGTTTTTAGGTTTTTTTTATTTGGCCATTGACTGTTAAAAAAATAAAGGATTAATACGGGATGCTATCGATTTGATTCATTGAAGTATTTAATACCACTGTTATAATGATTTTAAAAGAATCCAGAATCTTTCCTTGGTCAGCAGCTGGTTGACAGGGTGAGACATCACATGGTATGTCATGCTTTCTAGTAATCTGCTGGAAAGGCCAGGCAGCCACTGAA